CCCTATTAACCCCCCCCCACACACACACACACACACACTCATGCTCTCATCCCCCTGTTGTCCATGTCCATTGGTTTGGCTTATATGCATGCATACAAGTCCTTTGGTTGAATGAGAAAACGTTTTGAAAGCCTGTCGTTGGAGGGTTTGGGCTAGTCAGGGAGATTGCCGATGGCTTGGCTGAAGAAGTGATGTGAGATTTGAAAGTTGGGCGGACGTTAACTAGGTGAAGAGGGGCTGGAAGGGTGTTCCAGGCAGAGGGAAGGGCATTGACAAAGCCCAGTGGAGGAGGATGGCCAGGCGACTGTGCTGAGGGCCTAAACGTTGTGCGCTTACTGCCACCTAGTGGCCACATCTCTTTCCTACATCAGGCTGAAATTCTGAACTCCCTACAGGTCCCCAGCGTGGCTGAACCAGAGACTGCAAAGATGAGAGAAATGTAGGAAGGCAGGGCTGAGGCGCCAGCCAGGCTGCCCTTTGTTATAATGACGTCTGAGCTGGGCATGTGTTTTTCAGAGAGAAGCCTGACAAGTTAGGTCCTGGCTTCATGGACATTAGAGTCTAAGAAGGGCCCTGGCCAGTTTGGCTCAGTGGATAGAGCATCGGCCTATGGACCAAAGGGTCCCGGGTTCGATTCCGGTCAAAGGCACATACCGTGGTTACAGGCTCCTCCCCAGCCCGAGCCCTGGTCAGGTGCATGCAGGAGGCAACCAGTTGATGTGTTTCTCATCGGTGTTTCTCTCTGTCTTTCCCTCTCTCTCCCATTATCCTAAAAATCAATGGAAAAATGTCCTCTGATGAGGATTAACAACAACAAAAAAATAAAAAATAATATTAGCCCTAGCCAGTTTGGCTCAGTGGATAGAGCGTTGGCCTGTGGACTGAAGGGTCCTGGGTTCGATTCTGGTCAAGGGCACATGCCTGGGTTGCAGGCTCCATCCCCAGTGTGGGGCGCACAGGAGGCAGCCAATCAATGATTCTCTCTCATCATTGATGTTTCTCTCCCTCTCCCTTCCTCTCTGAAATCAATAAAAATATATTAATAATAATAATAGTTTAAAAATAATCTAAGAAGGATTTTCTGAAAAAGCCTTAGTTACACTCTCCCACGTAGGCCCGTATCCCCCTTAACCTGCGTTAAGAATTGGCTTGCTGCCGAAACCGGTTTGGCTCAGTGGATAGAGTGTCGGCCTGCGGACTGAGGGGTCCCAGGTTCGATTCCGGTCAAGGGCATGTACCTGGGTTGTGGGCACATCTCCAGTGGGAGATGTGCAGGAGGCAGCTGGTCGATGTTTCTCTCTCATCGATGTTTCTAGCTCTCTGTCTCTCTCCCTTCCTCTCTGTAAAAAATCAATAAAATATATTTAAAAAAAAAGAATTGGCTTGCTTTGTTTCTCTCTAGGGCACTCAAACCCTGTAACACTGTTCTCCAGCGCCAATGTTTACATAGCCAATTATTTTAAACGAAGCCCAAATAAGTAGATTTTCAGACGAGGTAGAGCCTGCCTGCTTGGCATGCGCCATGGCGTTCATGAGGAAGACATCGATGTTGGCAGATGGAAACAGAACCTAAATTAATGGATTCAGAAGAGACTGTGCGTGTAGCCCGGCCTTGGAAGACGAGAGGCAAGACAAGGAGAGCGAACAGGCTGCGCTAGTCTTAGTGCAACCGTGAGGACAGCCAAGAGCACGGCCCCAAGCAGACCAACTGAAGTTTATTGTGTCCATACCAAGGCCCAAGGTTCTACTACGCACACGCTACTTGCTATTGCCATGGCAACGGACCCCCGCTTAACGAAAATGACGGTTCAAGCAAATGAAGCTGAGATTTTTTTATTTTTTTTGAGAGTGTAGCAGGCAAGGAGGAGGGGGGAGAGGGAAACATCGACGTGAGAGAGATATTGATTGGTTGCCTCCCGCAGGCACTGCAGCAGGGCCAGGGATCAGACCTGCAACTGAGGTATGTACCCTTGACCGAGAATGAACCCTCGACCCTTTGCTCCGCAGCATGATGCTCTAACCGCTGAGCATCCGACCAGGGCTACTGGGTCCATCTGTGTTTACCTTCGGGGAAGGTGTGAGGAGCCATTTAAGGAGTTTGCTTGGGAACCAGATGTGACGCCACGACGGGAATGACATCACTGAGTTGCTTAAGAGGTGAGCTGGAGCATTGGGACAAAGACTCGAACTTCCTTCAAATCGAAACCCGGGCATGTGCCCTGACTGGGAATCCAGTGGTGACCTCTTGTTGCTCAACCGAGCCACACGGGCCAGGGCAAAACCACGAGACTTTGCTAGAAACCTGTTACACAGGAGCTAACACCTACTGGGCATTTACTACAGGTCAGTCGCTGTTTAAAATGCTTCCGCGCCATGCCCACCTAACCCTACACAGGTCCTAAGCGGTGAATAGCAACAAAGCGCCCATTTCACAGCCACGGCAGGCGAGGCATAGAAGGTCCCTTTCCCCCGGGCACACGGTGGGTGAGCAGCAGCGCTGGGATTGGAACCCAGGCCTTCTGGCGAGGATCGCACTCTCCCAGATCTGGGAGGCCCTGGGGCAGTGGTTCTCAACCTTTCTAAGGCCGCCGCCCTTTAATACAGTTCCTCATGTTGTGGTGACCCCCAACCATAAAATTATTTCTGTTGCTACTTCATAACTGTAATTTTGCTGTTTTGGATCGTCATGTATATATCTGATATGCAGGATGTATTTTCGGGGGTCGCGACCCACAGGTTAAGAACCGCTGGGGCCTGGAGGAATGACCCATTGGAAGAGGCGTGCGGGGGGACAGAGGTTGTTATTACTGTGATGGGGGGAAGCGGGGCTCAGCTGGGCTCAGCCGGGAGGCCGGGCGCCCTACTGCCTCTCTGCCCCTCCGCGAAGTCTTCTCACGCCGCAGGGCCAGGGAGATGAGCACCAGGCCGGCCAGCACCAGGCGCACCACGTTGCCCTTGGTGTAGTCCATGGAGCCAGAGCCTGCGGGGCCAGCGGGGCGACAAGGGAGGCGGGCGGTCAGCATCCCCCGCCCGAGGTCCCTAACCTCCAGGGTGAAGTGGGGACCCAACTCCCTCCAAATTGAGGAGGGTCGATGAGGGGGACGCAGGAGCCGGAGAGCTCCACTGCTGGGTCAGAGGGAGGAGGCTGGGGGCCTGGACTCCTGGGTCTGAGGGAGGAGGTGGATTGGCTGCGAGGCGGGGACTCCTTGGTCAGGGTGCAGGTGGATTGGCTGAGGGCCTGGACTGCTGGGTCTGAGGTGGAGCTGGGGGC